TTAATGACTCGTTTTGTTTTAGAGCATTCAAGGACTATCAAAGGTATAGCATGTTAACATTGATATTCACTTAACAAAGATGCACGATCTTTGCCATAGTATGAATTCTGATGGTTTTCATACATGTCACATAACAATGCAAAATAATTTTTGTTATATAAATATTATAATTTCCATAAAGATAATACTGTGAATTTAAATACAGATTCACATTTCTTATATTGCAATGATCAAACTCGCTAGCATTTAAACCTCTCTGATTTTAACGATTTGTCTGAAAGGCTAATTTAACATAGCGCGGCTTTTCCAACTTATTGGACGTCAATAATCTAGATACTTCCTTTTTTTCTAACTAATAACTGTCTACAAAATTGTCCAACATAGCAGTATTCAAAACCTTTGCAAAAAACAACATATAACAGAGATCTTTTTTATCAGTTTAAATTGTACCGTTGTCAATTTTTATGGTATTTAATTTATTAGAGTTATTAAAATTTACGAAAAAATTCAGATTATGCAAAAGTTTTCTTAACGAATTACTTATAGTTATAATGTACAGAATAATAATTTTCAGTTTATAAACAGTTACTTTATTTTGAGGTACAGTGCCAGATTTTTTAGTCCTATTTTATACTCAATTCTTTTTTAACTCTTATTTTGAAGTGCCTTTTCAACAATAATTAAATTCTTGATCCTAATCTATTGTTATACAACTTCTAATATTCGCCAATCGAACTTGTTATTATTGCTTTTTTTATCATAGATATTACAATGTAAGAAAATCGAATATCATGCCTGAGGAGGAGCTCTCATTGTACCAATGTATCAAACAAAAATTATTTTCTATTATACTTATTTATATATCAAGACATAGTAAAAAATTGTCTACTTTAATGTCAACCGTAAACTAGATATATTTCTAATTGAAATTTGATTTTCTAGATATACTATAATTATCTTTTTTTTTTCAGTTAAAAAGCAGTTAGCTACACATACTCTACAAACCACTTTTGACTCCGATAATTCTGTTAACACCTTATCTTCTAGGAAACTTCAGGCTATATCTGATAATGTTGGACTACAACAACCAGCTTTAGGACAGTTATTAATCTGTTAAAAGTATTTCATGTTAAATACAAAGTATGTGTAGTAAAGAAGAAACTTCGAACAATTAAAAAAATTCTTCTTTGTAACGTATAAGAAACCTCTTAGAAGCCCTCTTTTTTTTAATGTCCTGAGCCATTTGTGTGATAGATTTGTATGCAAGTATATAACATGGAGTAGAATTAATTTATATCTATATGGAACCATGATACCACCTTTAAATGTTTGTATTTATACATATTTGTCTTTTTTTTCCTGAGGATCCTCTCTTCAAGAAATTAAAATTGACTGAAATAAGGTAAAAACGGTGCAAGCCACATTTTGCCAAGCTTTTTTTTCAAGCAATCCTTCAGAATAGTTGCAGTCTTTCGGAGCAGAATCTTTTATGATGGGAAACATTGACTTTTACACATCAAACACATAATTAATAATTCTTAACTACTCTACAACACGCCTACAATTATATTTAAGTGTGTAAAAAAAACAACTTTGAGTGGTTCTAGAATATGAGTGGCATTAGGATATAATTAAATAAGCTTAATTTTTTTATTTAATAAGTGTAATTGTCCGGAACCAGCATAAATGAGCTTTTATCCAAGTTAAAAATTTGATTAGATTGTATCACCATCAAATTCTTTGCATAGAGATTCCTTTGAACTTCTGCAAATCAGGCTCTTATATCTTTGTCACCTAATGTTGCTCTACTTGTGGTCAAATTTTGAATAAACTTAATCAAGTTTGTGTATCTATTCATAAAAGAACAATACCATTTTTTGCCTGGCCTGCTGTAACTAAGGGATAACTTCTTCTACAAGACTTTAGGAATGGATAAATTTCTTGGACTTTGTTAATCTTATAGGGTAAAATGAAGCTTAAATCACTTGATGTTGATCATGGTGTGTATATGATGGACAACGGTCGCCAAAGTCCACTGGCCTCATCAGGTTGAACTACAATATTAAGACACACTCATTATACATGCGTGTTTTTTACTCTATATTCGATATAATCGTTAAAATATGTTATCTTACAATTGCTGTAAAGTACATTCAAGCAGTAGAATAAATATATTTATTACAAGATTTGTACTAATATAAAGACCTAACTGTAACACGTGGCTATAGAGACCATTGCTAAACAGTTAATATTATCAATAGAGTCAACAGATAGGAGAAATTCACATGCAACAATCAATATGATAAGACCTTTAAATTATTGAGCACAAGAGTCAAGCTTTTTTGTCAAGTATAGGTGTATAATGGACTGTAGTATGGAATTAAGAAAAAACAATAGTAGATTGTTTACCCACACAGCAATGACTAGATATTGCATGATAATAAAAGCGGAATTCTGAATGTAAAGCTGTAAAATTTAAATTTATGTGCGGTTATTAGAATGTTTTCAAAGCTTTTCAGCAGTTCTTAGTGATGACAACAACTGGTCTTTAGAAACTAAAAAGCCATTTTACGGCAAGTTTTTATCCAGTTTTTAATTTAAGTTTTTTGTTGTGATGTAAAAACTGTGTGCTAGAACCTTTTTTTTTCTTGCAATAATAATGTATGCTGCGATTCAGCGTAAAAAGTGCTCTTTGGTACTTTAAACAATACGGCAGCTTCTTTAATACATTTACTTCTCCTTACAGCATTCAAAGCTTTTTGAGATATTTATTCCTTTTTTGGTTTGTTGATCTTGCCTTTTTCGTTGTTGCTTCATTTGGGATCAAAGAAAAAATCAAAGAAAGAATTTGGAAATAATAAAATTTACCTTGTATACAAATATAGCAATGTCTATTGCAGGTTAATTCTTAGATTATACATACTAATACTGGATAGTTAACTAAATCAGTGAAAATTGCATCACATATTATTTACATAATTAATTTTAGTAGCACTGCTCTCGAAAAAACAATGTAACTTTTACCAATTTGGCAGAATAAATACATATAACTTGAATTAACAAAGCAGATGTACATAAATTTAGCTGTGGTTGAGTGCACTTGGATGGCAAAGATAAATTTTTGTCTCGTTATTACCAACACGTAAAGTAAGTGGTACATACTTGGACACCTTAAATACCGCTGGTGCAAGATTATTTAAAAAAATTAATTAAAATTGATTTATAAACACTATATACATTTTTCGAATTACTATTTATTTGGTTAATACATTGTACGTAAGTGCTATTTCCAATAAAACAAAGCAATTTGCTAAATTCAAAAATGCACTGAGACCGTAAAAGTTGTAGCACTTGTTGGAGAGATAAAACTAACAATTTAATTTGTAATTTCTCGTTTATTTAATCATAATTATTATGTTTTTTTTACTAATTAATTTGTTTCTAAAATGTTAAAAAATAGTTACAATACATTGTTCTACATTTTCTTAAAACTAAAGCATGTAAAAACTCAGTACTGTCGCAAAATCCCACTACATGCTCTCCTTATGTAACTGCCCCAATATACAGTTGTTTATCTTAATTCTTTGAAATTTTTATGCGAAGTCATTTGTATGTGCTTACATACCTTCAAATCCCGTATTGTTTACAGAAAAAGGGGGTTTCAATAATTTTACACGATTACTTTTCAGAAAAACAAAACCTTTTTAAAACAAAGTAATAATCATTTAAGTCTGAAAAACGAAGCAACTTTTAATTGAATACGTCAAGGTTTAGTTTTTCATATTAAATTTTTTAACTCAGTGTTTCATGGAACATTATAATTCCAGTATATAATTCTAATACTATCAAAGCAATTAAAATGATATAACAATTAAAAATACGTGTTGAAACTTGCTTGTTGAGTTAGGTAGATTACAACTAAGAGAGAGGGTTGTGCGTGGCAAGAGTCGTCGTCGAGAGTGTCAGATCAGCTGTTGAGATCAAGCAACGGTAAGCACCCTGTGCTAGAAACTCTAAGCGTGGTGAGGTAGGGTTTCTGCTAAATTCCAATGTCATCGCTGGCACTAGTGCTGCTGATTAATTGTTGGTCGATGATTTGCAGCAGTCGAGAAGAGCCCATAGCCATGGTACTTGTCGGATTTTCTTAGTCATTAGGCAAAGGCGCCAAGGAGTGTAGATAATGGTTGGTGAGAGTGGGTGAAAAAAAAAGATCACTGAGGTACTTATGTGAAAATAAATGTTATTGTTTATTGCATTAAGAAAGGGATCTTGCTACCACCGTTGCTCAGGTGTCGAGAGAGCAAGAACTTAGTCTTAACATAGGCTTAATAGACTTAGCACAGGCTTAAATCGAATGATCTTGGTGGATGCCTTGGAGTCGTTGCGCAGATTTCTTACATATTTAATGCAACTTATTACTTTCAATATTTTCCTAGTTTTTACTACTTAGCGAGTGGTAAGTAGTACTATAAATCGTTAAGTATAAAAGAAAAAAACGTGAGATTTAAAATAAATTAGATCCATATCAACCGATTAAAATTAACATACAGTAATGATTTTAATAATTACTTAAATCATACCCTAGACAATAGCAAAGTAGATAAAGAAAAAATGTTTTACATGAATCACTAACATGTTCTAATTATCAAGTGACAAGAAATATTTTCTATGTTTGAAGAATAAAAAAAACCAATAGAAAAATTAAAAAAAAACTAATATGCAATTTATAATCCTTAATATTAACGTAAAGTAGCTTTAGTTTCATACCGTAACCAAGTTTAGTCAAAAGTATATGTTAATTTTTTTTACCTATAACGATTACTAAGTATTCATTTTTACAAAGCACCTGTAAGAAAATAAATCGCTTAAAAATACTTACAATTATGGACTTTTTGCACATGATAATTGTTAATAGTAAGCGATGCATTAATGTTCCCCTTAATTTTTATTTATCAGAGAACTTAATGATAACAAATATTTATACAGATTTTATGAATTACCTTAATTTAATGAATGATCCCATGGTAATCATTAAAAGGTAGTCGAAAGGAACAAGGTATGCCATAGCAATGGTTGGCTCTTCAAATACAGAGGAAAAAAACAAGCCTGAAATAATGCAAAGTCTCTTTGTAGTGTCACATTATTCAAATAAATTGTACGATCTTAACCTTAGTAATATTCCAAAACACATAAAATTCATTTATTGGTTAACATTTTACAAATAATTTTCGAACAGTACGAGCATTAAGATAAAACAATCGTAGATAATTTTTTTTGTAATTTAAAAAGTTAAAATTATTATAATAAGTAAAGATCAAACATAACACAAAAACCTACATTTGCTTATTATATATTAATTAAGGAGACCTATAAGTCTCTGTTAATAGGAAAACTTGATATTTAACTAATTTATTTTAAGCTTTGTTAACAAGTAGTGTGAACTTGTATAAAAAAATACAAAAGATCATTAAGGGAATGCTAAAGGAGATTTTAAACATGCAAGTCTCTGCCAGTAAAAACAAACATGCTTATTATTGATGAAAAAATTTTAGTATCTAAGTAATCACTTTGCGTTAAGAGGGAAATAGATTTTAAGAGAATGAAATAGGCCGGAGTCAAAAGTTTGAGGTCTGGTGGGTCCTCACTAATGGAGTATGTGGGCCGAGAGTTCAAACAAACCTCCACTTGACAAAACTAAATAGATTATTTAACAAAGGTAAGAACCTGAGCACTCACAACTCGTCTAAGATAGTACTTTACTGACTATAATATAATTTTTCAAACACCACCAAAGGGCGACAGAAGGGTTCAAGTGCCAATGGGTCTTGAAATTTAGTGACCTTTCAGTCACCGTAGGAGACTTGCAAAGTTCAGCCCACCTTTGACAAAATTCAGAATCTGCCCCAACAAAATTAGATATAATGTATAAGTCGGAGCAGTGACCCGGTCGAGACGTAAATCGTTAAAATGCTGCATTAAAACACTTAGTACTATAGTCATCTACAATCTCCAAAGAGATAACTCGAGCGCTTATTCATGTGAATATCATTACGTAACCATTACAGGAACCCCTTTCTTTTGTTTCAAACAGTCTGACGAGGGAACGATCCACGTAATTAACTTTGGTCTATTGGAAAGCATACGAAGGTTGAACGCAAACACTAGAAAAGTCTACCATGGGTTAAGTCAATGGTAGGGCTGAGTATCGTTTATAAGTCACACACTTGGTAGTGACAGGAGGAACGCTCTGGTAACCTCAGTTAATCCAAAGTTCGAGGTAACATATACTCAGAGTGAGTTAAGAACCTCCGTGTGTTGTGAGAAAGGAAGCATGTTCCATACTAAGCATTAAAAGTGATCATCAGAAGCTAGCAACAAATGATGGGTGTTTACTTAAAAACTCCTAAAGAGAATTAACCAAATGACCTCCTACTCTTACTCAATATTCTACAGTAAAGGGCTTGAGAGGCCGTATTAAAGACTTGGGAGGTAATAATTTTATTTTACAATTACTGGTAGCTTCAGTAATAAGAACCAGAATATGCCGTTGAAGCACTTTGGTTTAAAATTACTGACGAAGTTAATAATTCTAATTTCGACTTACAATGGATTTTTTGATGTAAGTAGATCATTAAAAGTTAAGTATTTTTTATTCTAATAAACGTATTTAAAAACCCAATAACTGAAAACTAAAGCAAAAAGGTTAAAAATGGTAGCTTTGACCCCTTAGAAATAATACGACAAAACAATTTATAAAAGAATCAACGTAAATAGAAAGTCACCTTTAAGAGCTTTCCGAGAGTTATGTATCTAAAACAGAATTTATAGGTTTCTTCGGCTGGATTTGGGTGGTAGCTCATAGGGCTAATTTCAAGTTCTTGTAGTTTGTAGGACTCGTCTAAGTCAAATATTGAATAGTGTGGTTCAAGCAATTAATGAACACCAGGACCATCCATCCACAAAGATTTCTTGGCAAACTTAAAAGGTAAAACCTCTAGGGTTATATCAGCTGGACTCAATTTATCTAAGAAATGGTGCCAAATGACTCTTGGCCCCAGCTGATTGATATTGCTACAGCGATTCACAACAGAAGTTGGCCATGTAGAGGCATAGGAACTGAGCTAGTATAACACATCTTCAGAATCAGACCACAAATGTAAGGCATGAACACGTTGACCGATACCTTTAGTAAAGTGGTCAACAAGTTTAGACAGAAGATTGGCTACACAGAGCTCTAGTTTAGGTATACTTATGGTTTTAATAGAGGCTATCTTTGTTTTTGATAACTGAAGAGTTACATGAGCCTCATTTACATAAACTACTTAAGTATACATTACTGCAGCATACGCGGATTTCGAAGCGTCTGCAAGGCCATGCAACTCTACCAGCTGTACTCCGGGAGAATAAGAATTTCAACAAGGAATTTCCCAATTATATAATTCATTTATTTCAAATAACCGTTTAGTCCAAGAGCTAAGCATATCCTTACAAATTGAATAATCCCAGTTTATATTTAACAACTATAAAGATTGTAACAAGATCTTAAAATCAGCTTCGACTGAGGCAGCCAACCTAATGATGATATAAACGAGCAATAAAAAAAAGGGCAGATTTCTTAGACCACATTCCTTGAGTGGTGGGTTGCAGAGCAATTCGATGATAAAATACGTCTTCTGATGGAATCCATACTTAACCTAAAATTTAAGCAGAAGAAACATTCTTTTTTAGAAAAACAGACGACGGGCAGCTAACCTGATAAGATGGAAAATCCTTTAATGATATTGAACTGTTAACAGACCATTAAAGCAAGTAAAATCTACCTGAGGACAAAACTTTACGTAATTGGTCACGTTTTTCCTGAGCTTCTTTTAAACAGTGGCAACTCGAGATAATATCATTTCTGTAGACAAATGGGCTTAAGGAAATTTTTCCTAATTGTAGTAACCTTAACTTCCTTAAAATAGTTACTAATAATCCAAGCGGCTTGCTAACCCATAAGTAATGTATAAAAAAACTAAATTATCACAGAATCATTAGGCTCAAGCCTTTAAAATATACACTGATACTTTTAATCCTCCTCATGCAAGAAGGTTTGATGGAATATCTTCTTTACGTCCATTGTACTATGGTGAAAACGCTACTTAAAAATAAAAAAAAAATTAATTAGTCTGAAACCTTTGTTCATGACTCTATATTATGGTCATGGATAAAATTTAGAAACTCTTACGATCCTTTGGAAGGACAGAAGAATTTAGTTTAAATAGCAATTCTCTTCTAGGTTGGATTGATGAAAGACTTGTGTTACTTATTTGCAAGCAGACTAATTGAATTGCTATTTACAGATGGTGTTCAAGTTTTTATAAGCTTCCAAGGTAATAATTTGTGACGAAAGCAATGTCTTTAATTATTCTAAGGTGGAAGGCTAAGCCGTACTACCTAGGAATTTCTGCCCATCATTATTTGTTTCTTCATCGAATTTTCTAACGATGACAGCCATAAATAGATTTTCTTATCCTAACTATTGACTAAACACTTGATAAGATTTCATAGGACCTTATATTTCCTCAGCAAAAGGTTTTAATTTACTAACAGACTCAGATTTTATAGGTTTGCGAGCTAACATACTCTACAGGGACAATTAACAATACCACGGTGACTGTCGCTATCGCTAACTAAAGCTTGCCAAGCTATACTATACTGTTAATTTATGAAAGGTTTGGACTTAATCCCGTTTAAAGCTTTACCACGGAGGTATATACGTAGTTTGTAAGACTTAATTATATCGTCCCTGTCAGTCTTACAGTGTCCTAAGGATTGAAAGATGTCTTGGAATTCCTCTAATCTAAGTACTTGCCTGAAAACTTAAGAAGCTCTATGCGCGAAAGATAAGAGCTAGTAGAGGATTGACCTATAAGATTTGTCAGATCTCTATCATCGATAGAAAGATAAGTGGGCAGGTTCCTAATAAACTCAGAAAATTCGCCTTTCATTATATAATACAGACCCTTAACCTTTTCGTATAACTTTGCCATAAAACATAAATGTTGATTATCCTATTTGTCAAGTTTTATAATACTCTCGTAATTGTAATTGAATCATTCTGAATGTCTATCTAAAGCTTTCATTAAAATCTCCACCCTTCTTCGAGTCATATCCTTAATTCTTGACTTTCTTAAATGCTCGTAACAATTACTGATTTTAAAGTGAAGCTTAGTTTGATTTTAGTATAAAGCCTCTATCATGCTTCTCAAAGTAACAGCCAGAAACTAAAGGATAGCAGAGATTTTAATAGAGATATATATACTATTATGCAATGAAACCTACAAAAAGGGTAAACGTAACTATTTTATAAGAAACTTAAAATAATAATGATTACGAAAATTTATTTGTCAGTAAAATGTAATGACATTTCAACCTTTAGGGGTAGCAACGTCGTCGAATATGGTCTTAAAAATGTAGACAACATTGTTGGGACTTGCAGAGAAGCAGGAGTTTGGTTGTTTATGCAGCTGTGGACACGTGCAGGGGTGTTAATGCCGTTGCCTGATAGAGAGACGAGTAGTTGGCTTGCGCAAAAATCAAACGTCTCTGTCAAAGCATGCGGTGAAATTCTATTTTTGCGACACTATTTACAGAAAAAAAGATTGAATGGTTGTGTGTATTTAGAGTAGTTGTTGTGCTTTAGAAAACCGCATGCTGTAATATAGGCTTTGGATAAGCCACACGTAGCATACTTGTACTTCGAAGTTCTCCTAGGACAACAGCAGCAGGTGTCTTTATGGGTAGTGGCATGCATCAAGGCTCATTTGACTGTTATTAGTAGTAACAGCGATACTTTCGTTGAGTGTGCACGCCATGAGTCTCACGGCCTACATCAGCAACAGCCAAAAGATGTTCTCTCTTGTTGTGTGTATGAGCTTGCGTGTCAAGCTCCTTCTCAACTTGCAATAGTACAGCAGCAGTGCTGACAAAAATTGTGCTCACTGAGACCCTTTTGATCTGCAGTTCGAGTTTGAAAATCAAGCTTTTATTTTTAATACCTTAAATTTTATCATCACTAACACTAGAACAAATGCATTTGGCAGTATTGTAAGAGATGAATCAAG